TTAGCATTCAAGTCCCCTACCACAATTACTCTCTCACTTGGTTCAAATGCTCCTATACATTCACTTAACATCTCCCAAAATCTCTCTCTCTCCTCTGCATTCCTCTCTTCTCCAGGTGCATACACGCTTATTATGACCCACTTCTCGCATCCAACCTTTACTTTAATCCACATAATTCTTGAATTTACACATTCATATTCTCTTTTCTCCTTCCATAACTGATCATTTAACATTACTGCTACCCCTTCCTTTGCTCTAACTCTCTCAGATACTCCAGATTTAATCCCATTTATTTCCCCCCACTGAAACTCTCCTACCCCCTTCAGCTTTGTTTCGCTTAGGGCCAGGACATCCAACTTCTTTTCATTCATAACATCAGCAATCATCTGTTTCTTGTCATCCGCACTACATCCACGCACATTTAAGCAACCCAGTTTTATAAAGTTTTTCTTCTTCTCTTTTTTAGTAATTGTATACAGGAGAAGGGGTTACTAGCCCATTGCTCCCGGCATTTTATCGCCTCATACGACACGCATGGCTTACGGAGGAAAGATTCTTTTCCACTTCCCCATGGACAATAGAAGAAATAAAAAAAGAACAAGAGCTATTTAGAAAAAGGAGAAAAACCTAGATGTATGTATATATATATATGCATGTGCGTGTCTGTGAAGTGTGACCAAAGTGTAAGTAGGAGTAGCAAGATATCCCTGTTATCTTAGCGTGTTTATGAGACAGAAAAAGAAACCAGCAATCCTACCATCATGCAAAACAGTTACAGGTTTTTGTTTCACAGTCATCTGGCAGGACGGTAGTACTTCCCTGGGTGGTTGCTGTCTACCAACCTATTTAATTTGACAAAGTCTCCTAACTTCCCATTAATTTGTACTTGAAACCCAGCACCATTATACAAAGAATGAGCCCACATGATGATCTCATTACCAAAACCCTGCCACTTCATAAACTTCCACAGCACATCCCTTTCTACACTATCAAAAGCAGCTTGCCAGTCTAAAGCCAAAACACCACCCCCGCCCCTCGTTCCGCATTCCTCGACAAACTCCCTGATATTCCCATGACCATCATACATTGTGCTACCTGGCACGCCAAACTGACCCTTATGTATTACCTTGTCAAACACTTTCTTAATCCTATTTATTAAAATTTTTGCATATAATTTATAATCACTACATATTAGTGATATTGGTCAGTAATCCTTAAGTGATACGGGTATGTCACATTTTTTAACTAACACCAAAACCGCCGTACTCTGAGACAAACCTAAACGTCCCCCTTCCTTCATCGCATTGAGTAAACGTACCAGAAAAGTCCGTAGGACCTCCCAATGTTGAATATAAAATTCACACGGAATGCCATCAATACCTGGCGCCTTACCCTTGCACATTCCCTGCAAAGCCTCCCACACCTCAGCTTCAGTTATAGGCCCACCCATGAGAAAGAGATCATTATCATTCAACTCACATCGTACATTCCGCCCCAATTCCTGTATTGCATCCATGCTTACATCTTTATTTAGCATTTTGAGATTAAACCATTTATCAACATAATAGCTTATTCCTTCAGTTGTTGTTACAACCTGACCCTCACTATACCCTTCAACGCCATCCTGCACCACTAAACTCACGATTTCGGTCGCCTTCCTCCTTTGTGTCTGACTACGTAAGACACAAGCGGACGGTTTATCACCCCACACGGCCTCCTCGACTCCACTCGAAATACGCACCCCATCAAAAACCGTATTTTTCAGCACCTGGATGCGTTCCTTTAGATTGTCAATCTCGTCCACTGGGTAAATTCCAGATACCTCCCCTTGCACATAACATTGCTGCAAAGAACCCTCCAGGTACCTCAAAAATCCATACTCCAATCGAGAGGCCTCCTTACCCCGATGTACATAAAAATCCTTAATGCGAGGCTTCATAACCTCGTCCCACTGTCGCACTAAATCACTACCTTCCAAGGAGTCTACTCCCATAGACGTCCGTAAGTGCGTGAAGAGTGTCTTATCTTCCGCACTTTGAAGTAAATGAGTATTTAACTTCCAATATCCTTTAAAACGAGTCGGGAGACCTCTCCAGTCGAGCTCTACGAGAACACCTCGATGGTCGGAGAAATACACATCTAACACACGCACTTTAGTTACAACTACCCGCTGAGACACATATACCCTGTCTAAGCGTGCAGCATAGTCTTTACGCACGAAAGTGTGCTCAATCCCTAAGTCACTGCTTCCACTTACATCCACCAACCCCAGCCCAGACAACAAATCACCCAAAATAATCGAACAATAACCTGCTCCCCTCGGTTCTACGTCTTTACGGTGCACCACACAGTTCCAGTCGCCACCAACTACTGTTATATCAGGCAGAGATCTCAAATAGTACACAAGAACATCGTTAACAAAAGTATTTTTAATATTAACATCATGTTCAGCTGGCCCATATACTCCTACAAAACCAACCCGTTGAGTACCCCACTCACCTATGACACGTACCACGCGACCCCCCCCCCTTCCTCCCAATGTTTCATCACGAACAGGCTGGTCACTTTTATTAACACAGCCACAAACCACCTTTCAAACGACTCGAGTGAGCCATATAAACATCATAACCATCTATCGCAAACGAACTTCCAACTTTATGGTTATGTTCTTCAACGAAACATACGTCTACTGCAAAGCGATGCAACCACTCATGAACCTGCACTTGCCTTCTGTTATTTTTCATACCATTAACATTTATAGTTATACACCTAACTTTGCTAACGGTGGCTTTCCTCGAGGGACCACCACACCCTTTTTCCCTTTATGTTGACTAACGCCAAAGGCGCCACCTTTACCTTGTACATTCTCTGTTATATTACTCGCTGTCCTGGAAACACGCGACGCCCCACCCATGACTTCCGACCACGTCTTCTTCCCAGAGCGCTGTCCAGGGGTCAAGACATCGTCGGAGTCAGGCGGGGTAGCTGCACGCTTCCTAGTAACAGCATCCTCAGCTTTATCACGACCTGTACTGTTCTCCTTGTGAACTTCTACCGCAACAGTATGAACTCTCGGACCTTCTACCTCACTTACGTTAATTAACTGATCGACTTCCTTTAACTGTGTTCTCTCCTCATCTGAACACTCCAACGCAGGCACACACGGCACAGAATCATACTCCTGCGAAGCTAAAAGGTCGCTCAATGTCGATACAATGTTAGCTTCCATATCAGCACCCTCTCTTGCTTGAGGGCTCTCACGTCCACCATGTTCTACCACATCATGGTTGACCGTACCAGGTAGAGTCACGCAGGATGACTCCACGAGCATGGCCCGATCCACCTCATCACTCCACGATTGCAGGCACGGTAAGTCCTCGACTACTTCATCTGCCAGATTCCAACGAGGAGCCTCACCATCCGGACGACGACCACATCCTGAGGGCGGCTGGCGCTTAACGCATTGTGCAGCAATGTGGTCCAATGCGCCGCAAAGGCGACAAGTTTGTCTCTGTCCAGGATACATAACATACACCTGGGTATGGAACTCCTCTAGGTTTATGTACGAAGGTATTGGTTGGCGCAGGGACATTTTTAACGTGAAAGACCCTTCTTGTAAACCAGCAAAGTGGCCATCAGACCACCGACCCATAGTTACCTGGTGGACCGTCCCATAGTATTTGAAGGCGTCACGTATGTCAACTTCGTTAGCCTCAAAAGGCACATTTCGCACACGTACCCATGTATAGTATTGTGAAACGTCGTGCAACTTAACTGTGACTGCTGGGGTGACTTGCTTGCTAACATCCTGATACTGGTTGACAATCTGCTCGTAGATCTTGGTATCACAAAACTTGACGAATATCCGGGATAGTCCATTTAAGGCAACACCACACAGGGATTCACGCTGGATGAAATATACATCGCGGATGATCATCGGCACCAACACATTAATCAATGCGCTGGGGATTGTGCCCTTTATAAGGTCAATACACACAGTATTAACTCTTCTTCGAAAACCAGTCGCCATTGTTGTTGTCGTCTCAAACCTCAATTCTATGATTAGCCTCATCCTTCATAAATCCATCCGCTGATACGTCAACTCCCAAATATCTGAAAACATTCACTTCTTCCATACTCCTCCTCCCCAATTTGATATCCAATTTTTCTTTATCTAAATCATTTGATACCCTCATCACCTTACTCTTTTCTATGTTCACTTTCAACTTTATACCTTTGCACACACTATTATTATTATTATATTTGTGTTAAAGTGTAATTGCACAAAGGCTAGACAATATGTGGGGAAAGGGAGGTTTGAAGGAATCAAGTCTGATCCAAGGATGGAGAGAGTAGTTCCAGTACAAAGGCATCCCTACCCTGAAGAGTGACTTGATTATAAGAAGTCAAATAATATAATAGTAAAGTAATTAAATGAAGGTTACAGTTGCAGTACACGTTCATTACAAATTTCTTGAGGAAATCTTTAATCAAACATCATAAAAACGTCTTAATTTGTTAGCTTTTATTCAACAAGTTGTAAACCATTTACCCCCAATATGCTATGAGATCCTCAATATGGTACAGGATAACTGGTCTTGAATTCTTAAATAACAAACTGGAACGACCTGCCTAACATGGGCCAGTAGGCCTGCTGCAGCGTTCCTCGGTTCTTGTTTTATGAACCGTTACAAAGCCAGAAACAAGCTAGATGCTCGAAGGGAATCAATAAACAGACTAAGGATTGTCTGGTTGATGTCTATGCTAATAGATGTCGCATTTTGTAACACAGGGTATATACCATTCACAACACCTTGAAGAGCCTACACTGTGTAGAATGTAGCAGTTGAATTAGGTGGAATACAAGTGGTTTGTGTCACCTGGTTAATGTACTGTATTTTGATATATACATTGCACTGCATTGCAATCAGTATACACGGTGGTGGTGTGCAGTGTCATCTATTAATGTAATGTACAGGTTGTGTAACTTGTGTTCTTACTTGAGCAGTACAGCAGCGTCAGAGAGGTAGGCTCCCACCAGCAGGTCTGGGTACTGGTTATCATCCATGTCCATCCCTCCTGACAGTGACCACCCAAACGTTGATATGCTAGGACCCCGGGACACATCTTTCGCGTAAATCACCTGAACACCATCACAAAACAACATCATTTAAAATTCTCACTTCCTAAAGGAAATTAAATGCATCTTGACAACCATGACATGAAGAAATGACAAGGGATTATATTTTTTCTACTAAGTAATAAGAGAATTACTTTATAGGCACTTGATAAATAATGTTGGTTAAGGTTTATAAATGAGCTGTTAGGTTAAGGTTTATAAATGAGCTCTTAGGTTAAGGTTTATAAATGCTCTTAGCCTGTAAAATAAGGTAGTATATATTTGCATACCATTATGACGATATTGTCTAAAAAAATAATGTACAAAATATTTAAAACCATCTAACCTGAGATGGTTTCTTCATTTCCTCTGGAATGAGCTCACCACTACGTATAACAAAGCCATGGTAGATGAAAACAGCTCCATTGCCATCTTTCCCGCTGTATGGTGCCCCCACTGCCAAGTCTGTCACAGAAAACAGTTTGACTCTTCTGTGCTCACAGAAAATGAATCTTCAGGTTCAACTGTCTTAGCGGTAACTAAAGTAATCTACGAAGCCTATACATTATACTCTTTCTTTACCACTTCTTATGCACTCAACTTTCATTTATTTAGCTTTTCAAATATTTATTTTTTTTTAATTTTACTGCATATATAATATACTGGATAAATATATGTAAATATATGTAGTGTACATATTCCATGCGGTCTGTAAAAAAATTACTATGTCATGTATGTAAAGCCTAAATAAAGACTGGCTTTGCATCCAGAGGAATACAGGATGTACCCTGAGGGGCGTATTTTTCTCAGCGTATCTAGTTAGTTGTCTAGCCTATCATTTTTCTCGCCGAGTTAGTTGTGCCGCCTGAATGGTTAGTTTAGTGTACACCCGCAGCTCATCCTGTTGAGCGGTAGCACAAACAATAGGGTAACAGAGGTCACAATAGATCATTATCAGACCCCATTAAGCAGTGTTACACCACTTGAAACAAATATTAATAATTTTCTTATTTCATATTTTACAGTTACCTCATAGATTGTTGTACAGAGTACAACAATCTCAAAAACTTGATATCTTTTCTTAAAATAAGGATTAAAGCAGTACTGTCTAGCAGTGAAAAGGTTACCGTAAATTTAGCTGTAAAGACACTGTTGCAGTCGATAGATTTTAAACCTTATTAACCTACCAAATTTGTATTCGTTTATTAATACTAATATGGGATATATAATATATATATATATATATATATATATAATATATATATATATATATATATATATATATATATACATATACATATACAATATATATATATATATATATATATATATATATAATATATATATATATATATATATATATATATATATATGCAATATAATCACAGTAAACAGGTGATATCACAATATGCAGAACTGTGAGAAAATAGTGAACTTCCAAGCGAATTCGTGATTTCTCACATTATCAAGGAATTGTAAAAATAAAAGATTAGCAGGCGTATAAGGACTAGATTACACCTCGCGGTCAACTTACAACACCTGACCCTTTATGATGCTGTAGGTAGGTGGTCAAGGACCTGTCAGACACAGTTTATATTCCCCCCAAGCTTGAAGATTTTAACTTGTCGAAGATATCTTAAATTCTTCCCAAATTCTACATCATAAATGGCCAGGTGTTGTAAGTTGACCGCGAGGTGTAATCTCGTCCTAACATGCCTTCTGAACTTTCATTTTTACAATTCCCTGATAATGTGAGAAATCACGAAAGCACTTGGAAGTTCATTATATTTTTCACAATGGTTGTTCTGCACATGTATATAATGAACATGTGTGAACTAAAATTATTATTAAAGAACGTGTTCTCGGCATCAGACTGTGCAAGACTAGCAACTCACCATCAATGCCATCAATGTTGATGTCCCCAAGGGCAGTGAGAGAGAGGCCGAAGCGACCTCTATTGACCTCACCAGTGAAGGTCACCACCTGCCTGAAGCGATGCTGCCACACGCAACACAATGCAATTATTATCAACAATAATAGTAATAGGTAAATTAAAATGCAGAAAATTAAACATAAGTTAATAATAAAAATAAAACAAATGTTGAAAATAAAGTGAAGAGAACATTGATGAAACATTGAGAATATTGTTGTAGAGGAATGTTGAAGAATGTAGAGGAATGTTGAAAAATATATAGGTGGAGTAACCGGCCCAGTCACTCCAACTCTCTCATCAAGTTATCAGACATTTTGTTTTAATTATAATTAAGGTCATATACAGCTCTGTACCGCCATCACTTGTACCGTCACCTGTACCACCATCTGTACCACCATCTGTACTATCATCTGTACCACCATCTGTACCATCATGTGGACTACCACCTGTGCCACCATCTGTACTACCACCTGTACCACCGCCTCCAGTAACCACTTCCAGCACTACCTATACCATCATCTATACTATCATTTGTACCAACATCTCCAGCACCACCGTACCACAACTTATACCACCACCTGCAAGAACCAACTGTGCCACCTATGAAAGTGGAACCTCAGGAAGCAGGCAAACTGCGTGCTGCTGCTGCTGCTGCTGCTGCCCGGGCCAATATTCCACCTGGTACCCTGAAGCCAAGAGTCTGATGTTATCATCACACTTGTAGTTATAATGAAAATACCTTCATTTCTCCTCCCTAATCCCCCATCTCACTCCACACACACACACACACACACACACACACACACACACACACGGGCGGGGCCAAGAGCTATGTATCGACCCCTGCAACCACAAATAGGTAAATACACACACACACACACGGGCGGGGCCAAGAGCTATGTATCGACCCCTGCAACCACAAATAGGTAAATACACACACACACACACACACACACCCCTGCAACCTCAACTAGGTGAGTACACACACACACACGAATGTGATTGGGGATATATATAAATTTAGTGTTTCCTGTAATATAATGATATAGGCATAACAGCTAAAAGACAAAAGTGAGTGGTGAAGAGAACACTCACCACCTTGTTCTGCAACATAACGTGGACTCGTCCCACCTCGAACTTCATCTCCCTGTCCTTATAGTCAGTGTACATCGGAGAGCCAACGATAATGTCGTCGAGGCCGTCGTTGTTGAAGTCGACCACGGCCAAACTGTAGCCGAAATAGGAGCCCAGCTGGTAGCCAGTGATATTCTGCAGGGGATGCAGCTCGTGTGTGTAGAGTGCGATCTGTGGGAAGTCCAAGTCTGTAAAGGGGTGTGCAGGGTTAGTTGCAGCTCACCAAGTGATGAAGCTCGGGTGGAGGAAAGAGGAGTGCCGTAATAGAGGTCTGGTCCTAGAGAGACTGTATACAGCAAAGGCTGGGAAGACTGAGAAATGGAAGTTTCTGCCCCGGAATGACTGGGGTTGTGGGGTAGACTGAAAATAATTTCTGGTTGATCAGGCCCTGATCCACAGGAAGGCCTGGTCAAGGACTGGACCGCGGGGGGCATTGACCCCCGGAACACCCTCCAGGTAGGCAGGAAGATCATATAAATTAGAAGTTGTGCATGACATACTAGTTAAAAGGTCTCTTGGATTAACTGTATATTGTTACTTTTTAGTATTGTGCAGCAGGCTCCTGTAGAACACCGGAGGAGGTAATTTCTAAAGATGTGAACCCCACCTAAAGCTGAGAATGTGCTACTAAAGAGGCTGCTGCGAGTGATGTTATGTTGGACATGCATCATCTGAGTGGACACATGTGGTGTTCTCTACACCTGTGTAGTAGCATGTTAAGGGTGTTAAGAATATAACAGAAACTATTTACACTTTAGGTAATAACTACCTTCACCTTGTTGTATTATGACTTGTCCCACCCCCTTCCCGGCTACCTTCATGGCCAGAATAATTTCAGACTCATTAGCCCCAACGTGTATTATCATGTGTGAAATTCAATTTATCATGAATGTAAGAAAAAAATAATAGTGCACATTTAAAATAAAAAAATAAATTAACAAAAAAATCTAGCCAATGCAGCAGCAACATAAGCTAGACAAGGAACAGGACACACCCGTGATCTCTGAAGTCTGACCCATGTTTCTCTTTTAATTTCACACCCAGGAGGGAATTCACTATGAATCAATATGTAAACTCAAGAATAAAATAACCAGGAAAGACAACAGGATGGGAGGAAAGGCGAGAGAAAAGATAGAATGAAGGGGACTGGTGATACAGAAGAAAGACAGGATGACACGAAACTCCTGGTATAAGGTGATGTGTGAATATAACAACGACTGGTGAATATACCAACAATTATTTATAAATGTAACAAAAATGTCTCGTAAATACAAGAACATTTCTTGTTGGAAGTGTTTTGCGGTCATTGAAAGGACAAGTCAGAAAAATAAATAACAGTAATAAGAAGGCAAATGACTGTCGACAACTTGAGGGTCATTCACTTAACACCTTTCCTGAAGATGTTTCGGTCCTTGAATGTTTGTCAAGGTTCGAGGACCGAAACGTCTTCAATAAAGGTGTCCTAAGTGAATGCAACTGCGTCCATTTCCCTCAAATAAATAATAACAGAAGCAGAGGGAGAGAGATTGAGACTCAGTATTGGTGTCCAGTTTGAATACTGCAAGATACCCACACACAACAACAAACCTCTTCACAGACATGTCATAAGCTCTGTAAAGTGAGGAAATTATCATTGGGTAACTAATTAAAATGTCTGAATAAATCATACCTATCATAACATATAATTTATGAAGCATGAAATAAATCTAAACAAACAAAAAAAAAATACAAAAGCAAAAAAATACAATGTAATTAACGTGGTCATAAATTAAAAATACAACAGAATACAAACACCGAAAGCTTTCTTAAAAAATACAATGAAAGCCATAAACATCAAAAGCTTTCTTAAGAAAGAAGATTCACTGGAAGAGACACCAAAAGCTCCTTTTACCGAGACGTATTGTGACGACACACACACAAGCGACACCAACACAACTACTAGCTACTGACAACCATCACCGTGACACATGGTGACACTGAACAGTAGAACAGCCCAGAGGGAGAGAGATATAATTAATTTAGTACACATTAAACATCGAAGTACACAAGCAACATTAATATCTACTGGCAAGACAAAATGCTAAACAAGGATGCAACATAACATCGATAATAAAATATATGCCAAAACATTAAAAGAAAAAGAATAAAAGTAAAAATACCGTGGCTAAAACATTTAACTAAACCGCAGAGTGGAGACGATACTAGACGTCGTTTCGGTCTGTCTTGGAACGCCATCGATACTTAATAATGGACCAGAACAAACAGAAACGTCGTCTACTTTCGTCTCCACTTTATGGACTAGTTGTGCAATGAAAAATGTAAAGGGAAGAGAAGTTAAAAGGCCGCCCATACAAGACATCCAGGAAGTAATGATGGTCTACGTGAAGCAGCAGTCAAGTAGAGATGCTGCAGTGTCCCAGCTTCACCCAGACGCCACAACACCTTACCGTAGGAGGCGACGAAGGTGGCCTGGTAGACCGGGCAGTGATGGAGGCGCTACAGAGAGCAGAGTTTACAACACAGAGGCGGGGCACTGATGCACACACACACCTGGAAACTATACCTTGCCCGTAAGGACGCCTTTCAAGTTGGGTCCCCGAGGAATGCCCACTGCAAGGTCCTGCCCCGGGGCACCGTTAAACTCGCCCACCGCCAGGGCGAAGGAGCCGTACAAGGGCCGCATTGTGGCCACCTCTGACAGGCTGATGAAAGTGTACCCTACTTGTTCGTTGCTCAGGAAGAGGAAACCTGTGTGCTCAAACCACTGTGGCCAGGTGAGGTTGTGGAGGCTGTCGGCCTGCTCTGCTCCGTTCAGGTTCTCTTCAGCTCTCCGGCCAAGAAATCTCTGTGAGGGCTGCTTCTGCCTGGCCTGCACCTGCGCCTTCCGCTGGCCCTGAAGGTACTACATGGTCAGCAAGGTGGTGGCTCACTGCTGGGGGAGCTTCCCATCAATGACTTGCTCTTCGAAGACACCACCACAGCTGCTCTCTGGGAAAACTCCTCTCATCTTTAGTACTAAAATACAGACACTGGGGTTATAGTTTGGGATTTAAAAAAAATGACTCGACCACCACATACTTTGTACGGACCTCGTCTCAATACTCACTGGTACAACTGCACACTAACTGTGAGAAATTTTAATCTGTAGACAACCTTGTAAAAAAAAAACACAAAACACCTCATAGATATGGAACTAGTGGCCAGATTTTGCCCAAAGCTTGTGGAAGATATAATTTATGAGCCTTTGTTAAATACGCTCCTTGAAGGAATGTAACTACATACTTCTCAACACACCCAAACATCACTTTTTCTTGCTGGAAGTATAAAAATTATTAGTGTGTAGAGTCACTTGGTAGAGGAGAGATGTCGAGTCTCGGCTTCTGGGCGCGCCTTTCTGTTACTCAAGAACCATCACTCTACATCCTTGGCCTCATGATCCTTATCATGCCTATACTTAAAACTTTGTACCGAATTTTCTTCCACCACTTCAACATCCAGATTCACTTTCTAACTGCTCTCATGCGTGTCTTTAACATCAATCTATTTTTCCCCTTGTCATCGCACCACTCCATATAAATAGTCTGTCTTTGCTCTTCTACGTCGTGATCATGTCGCCTCTGATTCTCCACCATTACAGTTTCAAAAGATTTAATTCCTGAAGTCTATTTTTCGTTGGTTATTATTCTTAGATCTTGGCTTAATCTATATGCCAATCTCTGAACTTTCTCCACACACACACACACACACACACACACACACACACACACACACACACACACACACACAAACACACACAAACACACACACCATACGTGACTCTTTACACATGTATTACGTACTGTATACTTGTGTTGGATATGTGGGCCAGCGGGCCGCCAGCAGCAACAGCCTGGTTGACCAAACAAGCACCAGGATAACTTGGAAACCCATCAAAGGAATACACATCATACGTGGCACAGCGATACATAAAATGTGTACTGAGTGTTTACGTGATTTATTCTGAAGGGCGAAACGTCTCCTCAATAAATATCTCGGTGCTGTGTGAGGTGTTGTGGGCGAGACGCTCCACAACCTCCTACTAAAATTATTAAGAAAACACTTAAAGTGACCTGAAGTGAGGATTATATTAGGTCTGTGCACGTTTCTTCCCCCCTCTAAGCACCTCCCGTTCCCCCCTCTTAGCACCTGCAGTTCCCCTCTCAGCACCTACCCTTCCCCCCTCTCAGAAAATACCTTTCCCCCTTACCTGGAGGTTATTCCGGGGGGATCCGGGGATCAACGCCCCCGCGGCCCGGTCCACGACCAGGCCTCCCGATGGAAGGGCCTGATTCAACTAGGCTGTTACTGCTGGCCGCACGCAGTCCGACGTACGAGCCACAGCCCGGCTGATCCGGCACTGACTTTAGGTATCTGTCCAGCTCTCTCTTGAAGGCAGCCAGGGGTTTATTGGCAATTCCCCTAATGCTTGATGGGAGGCTGTTGAACAGTTTTGGGCCCCGGACACTTATGGTGTTTTCTCTTAGTGTACCAATGGCGCCCCTACTTTTTATTGGGGACATTTTGCATCGCCTGCCCAGTCTTTTACTTTCGTAGGGAGTGATTTCTGTGTGCAGATTTGGGACCATTCCTTCCAAGATTTAGCACCTACCTCTTACCCCTCTCAGCACTGGCCTTTCGCCCCTCTCACCACCTCCCGGGACCTACCATTTCCCCTCCCAGCACCTACCTCTTGCACTTCCCAGCACCTAACCCTACCCGATGACATGACATGTACCCTGTAATAAGTGTAATAAGAGGGTTGATACCACAACCTCACATAAGTAAAACAACACACTTTCAACCACTTAAACACACTGCCACTTAAATGCACTTATTATTAGTAATTCAAGGGATAAGTTCAAGTTAATAAGAATATGTGACAGGCATTAGTTATCTTTAAGTCCTCCAGAGGGGAACTTTAAGCTTTAATAAAACTGTCAGTTTTACCTCCACTCCATCTCTCATAATAAAGAGATAAAACTGATTACTGTTTATCAGTTTATCTTAGTAATATCAGTCACTCACATCACCTACTAAAACTGTTGTGGTTTATATTAGGTTTACCTCACTACCTTAATATTTTATATTAAAGTTCACCTCACTACCTTAATATTGTAATATTACAGTATACCTTAATACTGAGATATTACAGTATTAAGGTACTATAGTACCTTAATACTGAGATATTACAGTATTAAGGTACTATAGTACCTTAATACTGAGATATTACAGTATTAAGGTACTATAGTACCTTAATACTGAGATATACAGTATTAAGGTACTATAGTACCTTAATACTGTAATATCTCAGTATTATTATTGGTACTTTACCTCCAAGTTGTGTATACTCACCCATATGTCTTTATTCTTCCAAGATTCACTACTTTGTGTATCTACTTCTATCTATCTATCTATATATATAATATATATATATATATATATATATATAAAATATATATATATATATATATATATATATATAGACGCATGTATCTCTTAAGTGCATACACAAAAAGAGGTATTTACAAGATGGTTATCTCTCAGTGTATACACACCAAAATGTTTGTATCTCTCAGTGTATATACAAGGTGTGTAATCTCAGTGTGAATAAATTTAAAGACATATGGGGCAACGCTTGGTATCTTTATTGAGCAAACGTTTCGCCACACAGTGTCGAAACTTAGGAATTCTTCGCTTGCCTAAATTCTTGGGCACAACCTACTCCACACTGAACAAATTGACATCCACCTATGACTGCTGCACCTCTCCTGCCATACGTTTATAAGCTGCTTCTCCGCTCATCTGACGTATTCTACTCAAGTTGTGGACTAAATCACATCGACTAAAGGGTTTGTGGACTGATTACTCATTCTCTTCCTGTTCTTCAAGTTTCTCCTATGTATGGACTGATGAAGCCACTGTGTGGCGAAACCGTTTCCTAATAAGATACCCAGATTTGCACATGTGTCAATTTATCACATGGTCGGTTCTTGAACATTCATCTACAAATATCTCAGTGTGTATACCAGGTGGTACTATCTCAGTGTGTATACCATGGTGTATCTCAGTGTATATACACGGTGTGTAAACTCTGTACATACTAGGTGTGTATAACTCAGTGTGTATACCAGGTGTGTATATCATGTATACACACCAAAAGGTGCACCTTCCCGTTGTTTACATATCTGATTCCCTGAGGTGGGTTCTTGAAATCAGTCGTCCCTTGGTTCGAACACCAACTGGCCTCCGTGTGACTAATTAATGGTCCAGGTAGACCGAAACGCCGTCATAAGTTTCAGTCTACTATGTGTGGTTATTGTCTACAGGCCTCCTGGATGACCGCCTGATCAACCAGGCTGGGTGCTGGCATATGCAATCCCACACTGAACACCACCAGCCCGGCTAAATTCACAACTATGGTGAGGAGGTTATCATGTTTCCTTCAGCTAAGGGAATGTTTGATAATTCACCCTTATGAATGAATGGATGGTGCTGAAAGTCTTGTTCCCTTTTACACTTATTACACACAGGGAGAGTATATTTCATACCTTTTTTCAGTAAACAAATTGTGCTTCTTGCTAGAGTTTTCGGGAATTTTTTGTCAGACTTTACCTCAGGATGAACATGATTAATGGTAAATCCTGCCTTACCTTACCTTACCATTATTACTCTGCCTCAATTTACTTATTTTACCTTCCTGAATTAGCGTACTTTACCCTACCATACCTTAGCTTACTTTACTCTACCATACCTTAGCTTACTTTACTCTACCATACCTTAGCTTACTTTACCCTACCATACCTTAGCTTACTTTACTCTACCATACCTTAGCTTACTTTACCCTACCATACCTTAGCTTACTTTACCCTACCATACCTTAGCTTACTTTACCCTACCATACCTTATTTACTTTACTCTACCATACCTTAGCTATACTTTACTCTACCATACCTTAGCTTACTTTACCTACCATACCTTAGCTTACTTTACTCTACCATACCTTAGCTTACTTTACCCTACCATACCTTAGCTTACTTTACCCTACCATACCTAAGCTTACTTTACCCTACCATCCCTTTAAGCTTACTTTACCCTACCATACCTTAGCTTACTTTACCCTACCATACCTAAGCTTACTTTACCCTACCATACCTTAGCTTACTTTACCCTACCATACCTAAGCTTACTTTACCCTACCATACCTTAGCTTACTTTACCTACCATACCTTACTTACTTTACCCCACCAACCTAAGCTTACTTTACCCTACCATACCTAAGCTTACTTTACCCTACCATACCTAAGCTTACTTTACTCTACCATACCTTAGCTTACTTCACCCTACCATACCTTAGCTTACTTTACCCTACCATACCTAAGCTTACTTTACCCTACCATACCTTAGCTTACTTTACCCTACCATACCTAAGCTTACTTTACCCTACCATACCTAAGCTTACTTTACTCTACCTTTACTCCCCCTACCATACCTTAGCTTACTTTACCCTACCATACCTAAGCTTACTTTACCCTACCATACCTAAGCTTATTTTATCCTACCATACCTTAGCTTACTTTACCCTAACATACCTTAGCTTACTTTACCCTACCATACCTAAGCTTACTTTACCCTACCATACCTAAGCTTACTTTACCCTACCATACCTTAGCTTACTTTACCCTACCATACCTTAGCTTACTTTACCCTACCATACCTTAGCTTACTTTACTCTACCATACCTTAGCTTACTTTACTCTACCATACTTTAGCTTACTTTACCTCTACCATACCTTAGCTTATTTTAAACTCTACCATACCTTAGCTTACTTTACTCTACCATACCTTAGCTTACTTTACCCTACCATACCTAAGCTTACTTTACCCTACCATACCTAAGCTTACTTTACCCTACCATACCTTAGCTTACTTTACCCTACCATACCTTAGCTTACTTTACCCTACCATACCTTAGCTTACTTTCCCCTACCATACCTTAGCTTACTTTACCCTACCATACCTTAGCTTACTTTACCCTACCATACCTTAGCTTACTTTACCCTACCATACCTAAGCTTACTTTACCCTACCATACCTTAGCTTACTTTACCCTACCATACCTTAGCTTACTTTACCCTACCATACCTAAGCTTACTTTACCCTACCATACCTTAGCTTACTTTACCCTACCATACCTTAGCTTACTTTCCCCTACCATACCATACCTACTTGATAACGCTTGGTTAATGCGTTAGTTTGGTAGCTAAAGAAACATTAGACTAGTTTACCTTCGTTAGGTAAAGGGACAAGTGCAACTAATGCGACATTTTACTGTGGCAACGTTTCTCAAGCCGTAACGGTCTAACAAAGCTCCTGGAGAGCGAAACGTTGCCACAATAAAGTGTTGCATTACTTGCACTTGTGTCCTTTTACCTAACATATTGTGGGTAATGTTACCAACATTACTAGTTCACCTTTAACTACCAGTTTACCAGGAGAGTTTGAATTCCTCGAATCAAGAGCCTCGTAGGGGCATCAAGAGCCCAGAAGGATCAGTGAGCGTTGACAGACCTGATAACCTGTGTTACTGATGACACTCTTAAATCCCAAGTTGTTCCAGCACCTTCCACCACATTGATGCTACTCATGTGCCCTTTCATCCAAGGAAGTGGAGCTTCCCATCCCTTCCTTGGATCAAACCTGATGACCTTGCATTTCACAGGGGCTATATGACGCTTACGAGTTCGGTGTAGCCCTTGAGGGTTTAGCGCCTGATGAATTTAATAATATTAATAATAATAATAATAATAATAATAATAATAATAATAATAATAATAATAATAATAATAATAATAATAATAATGTCAAAACAATAACGCCCTCCTCCTACGAACTTCTGAATTCCCCCTAAAACGCTCCTCTAACACCCCTGAAACACACCCCTAATATCCCGTCCCTCGCCCTCCGCTTACCAGCTCACCTTTCCTGTATAGTTCAAGCCTTTAGGCACCCCAAGTGCCACATCCTGTCTGCCATCTCCAGAGAAGTCGCCAACTGCCACAGAGTAGCCCAGATACTGGTCATCATCAACAGCACCGCCCTCCCAGGTCATGGCGTACTCGTTCCTGGTCACAAGGCTCTGAGAGTGGACCTGACCTGCTCACAGCAGCGACAGCCACGTCAAAACAAGGGGAAGAGAGAGAGAGAACAAACATGGGATTAGAATCAGCATCTACGTCAATTTCCTGACAGCAAATCAGTATTTATTTGATGATAATATTTATTTTATAATAATTAAAAGAGACGGGGGACTGAAGTTTTATTTTCTCATGCATGAATGACCTATGAAGCACACATTTGTCATGCTAAGCAAAATATCATCGAGTCAAAATTGTGTATGAAAAACATGACTAGATAAGCCTAATGAAAATTTTAAATGCAAGTACAATAAGGCGAGAACCATAAAATAATAATAATAATAATAATAATAATAATAATAATAATAATAATAATAATAATAATAATATAATAAGCAAGAACAATGCAAAAATCTGAGAAGCAAAAATAATGTTATTATTGTTACATGTATTAAAAAAATTGGTCAAAAGTATGCATAAAAAAAATTCGTTAATTGCTGAACTTCTCATTTTAGTAAACGACTCTACCGTGTTATACAAATTTTAAAAAAACTTCCGGCTAGAAAGACAGATTATGTGAAGACATTAGAATGTTGCTACTAACATTATTCTACCTCTGTAATGTTGTGGCTGATGTATGATTAAGGCACTCCATACCCATCCTATGGGCGGTAGTTTAAAAAATTAGAGCCAGAAAACGGACCCAGAGACTTGGCCCCAAAATGTATGTGGTGGGGAAACGTTAAATAAGAATGTTCTGAAAATACTGTTTAGTTTGATACAGCGTCTATGGTGCACTGTTATATAGCACTAGATAACTGTGTGTTCCAACTTTCATGGCTTCTATAAACACCTTAATGAAAGGATGACGTCTCAGCTTCATCCTCAAGTGTAAGCCTGTTATTAAATAACCTGACATTACCAGAACTAAAGATCTCAGTCTCTCAATCACCAACACACGTGTCAACGGACACTGTACATGTACTTCCATATTCTCCTTATATGCTAGAATGTTACAGCTACAGGATGTGACATTAACGGATGTAGCTCTGCCGTCTGCGTCTGTAAATTAATATACATGTGAAGATGGACGAGTGTGTGAACACTGACTCGTTCTCCAGCGAGCAATGCAGCCTCGTCCTGCCTTTAGCGGACAAATGAATAAAAACATATAGCGGTGCAGTCCATTGGTAACTAAAATCAAACAAGCAGTGGACGCACTCATTAGCAAATGCGATGAGTGAAATATTGAAAAAGAGTAAAATAAAAACAAATATATTTAATTAAAGAAAACAAAATCTAAAGGAATGACTGCTGCAATGCCTCTCAGAAACGCATGAGACCACCCGGGTTTCGTCAAGTTAATATATTGGTAGCAGGTTATTAAGATGGCCATAAACGCTACCCAGGAGGCCCTGAAAACTTACTGGGTTGGGGTTGCTAGCTCCTTGTCGTATAAAAACAATTAAAACCAGAATTAATTAATGTGCTAGAAGCCTCAAAGTAGGCCGTAAGGCAAGTCTCATGAAGGCGAAGTACAAGAGCGTGTCTCTGGCTGTTCACTTGTCAAGTTGGCGGCAGCAGCAGAGACACGACGCGACCTGGAGCTCAACGAGGAACATTAAAACCACCTCCTGCCCCTCCCAGTAAGGATGTGAGTATGACAGGAGTAAGGAAGATGGTGTATAGTGTGTGGTGCAACTAAATAACAGATGGAACAGGCGAGGTAGCTGGTGGAGTAATGATGGGCCGGGTTACCTTTGAGCCGCGCCATCCAGGCCTGGCCTGCAACAGTAAACAACACTCAATGTGCGCCACACTTCATGACGGCACCACTAGCCGCCATAAATGTTATTTACAAATAATTATATGTTAATGCCTTACCTTGATGGATTGGCAAACACACACATGAAATACAACTGATTACATTAATTAGCTAACAAATACAATGGGTTGCTTTATTAGAGCTATATAACACAAACAATAAAGCTGAAAATTATCAAAATTAATGTCAATGAGCAGTGTTACAAATGTATATATACAGTAGACAAATGATGTATATATTACAATGAATATTATACAGTAGGCCTTAAAAAATTAACAAGTGACAGGATAATGTTATTCCAAGGGAAGATACAACACTGAAAACACGCTCACTGACACTCCCACCACCTCCCTCTTTCCCTGCCCCATTCCTCCTTCTCTCTCTCTCTCTCTCTCTCTCTCTCTCTCTGTTTAGCCTGGTTTATTTACATGAGGTCATATGTTTACAGGATGGTGCTCTGATAGTGGAAGATGACTCAGCAGAGAGCGCGCCAGTAAACCTCAAGGGACCGACCAGCATGTTTACCACATGTTTCCACTTTGTTTACACAAAGTGGTCGCCTCCTGCCAGGTACACCTTTGTTCAAAGTGAGGCAAGAGTGCTGACGAGAAAGACGAGGAGCAAAGGAGGGAAGCAAGAGAGGCGAAGGAAGAGGCGAGAGGAAAGGGAAGGAAAAGAATTATTTGATTTAATATGTGTATTACCAGTAGGTTACCTCGAGTCACTTTCGAAGGTCAGTGCCCCTGAGGCCTGGTCCCAGACCAGGCCTCCTGTTTGCTATGTATCACAGCCCGGCTGATCAGAGGCTGGTTCGAAGAATTTGTCGAGTTCCCACTTGAAGACAGCCAGGGGTTTGCTGGTAATCCCTCTTATGCATGAAGCGTCGTGGACTCTTAATTAACACTTATTAAGTTCTCTCTCAGTGTACTCGTTTCCCTGTTTTTAACGGAGGTATTCTGCACCGTCTGCCAAGCCGCCTCTTGTTATTAAATGGAGTGATTTCGGTGTGCAGGTTTGAGACCAATCCCTCCAGTATTTTCCATGTGTACATTATGATGTACTTTTCTCATCTACATTCCAAAAAAGTACACTTCAAGGAACTTCAGGAGTGTTGTGAATTATGAGTAAAAACTGAGGAGGGATGAAGCAAGTGGCCTGTGTGTTCTAAGCCTCTGAGTGGACCTATGATTTATAACCGGCGTTGATACGTCCTCAACCCGTGTTTGAAATATGTCAGGCAGGCCTATTTGTAACTTGAGCTTCACGCTGGCAGGTTTGAGCGTGGGAATGTATACACGTAGAATATTCGTTTAGTTAGGTGTCTTAGATTGCATAACTCATTTATGGTATCTTAGAAGTGCGAGTGCCTCTGAGAACCACGTTTTTAGTTCAGACACGATCCTTCTGTGTTTCGGAACAATAGAAAACATCGTTAACCTTATCAAAGAATAGTGAAATGAGCGTCGTTCCTGTTAAACTCAACTAAACTGACAAGGAACTTGGGGGAAGTAGCAGTCATTAAATTAAATGTTCTGCTGAGGCGTACAACCTGGAGTCAGGAAGTGGCACTCACAGAGTGCTCACAACTCGTATATCATGCCACTTGTGACCTGCTATGATGGAGTAGTGAACCTGGTTCTCTGGGAGCGACCCACTGTGTCTTGTTCTGGTATTAACAAATGAAGAATTATATCTCTTAATGTTTGTGCAGCGGACGATGGATCGAAATTCAACTTGCCCCTTCCTTCAAGAGAGTCCTTTGATGCTAGTAAAAGGTTTTGGATCCAAGGAATGAAGCTACCCTCTCCTGCCTTGGCTCAAATCTAATTGCCTCTAGTGGTGCATATTACTGAGTTAATGTATTTTCCTCGTATCTCTAACAGTGATTACCCATGATGTCCTCTCGAGTCCCCATAACTTCTCTTCGTCCTGTTTCCCACTGTTTATCATCCTCTACCTCCCCCGGCTCATAGAACACCTGTAACCCTCGCCCCTTCCCCTTCCCCCTCCCCCTCCCAGAAGAACCAGCTTCAAGCAACTACATCCGGTATTATACAAACCATTATACACTACCATTATCTTGTTACAATGGTGGGAATTGTCAACACTAGTGAGTATTATATTTAAGACTCCATCATCCATGGTGAGGATGAGTCTCCTTAGTGGGGCAGCCACGGGAGGCTATGGGGGCTTAAGACCCCCGCGCAAGCTCCCCCCCCCATACAAATAATTTTCATTTTTTTAATAGCTAATCTTCACTGTATTACACTAAACAATATGTATGTGAAGAAATTTCACATGCATACTGAAAATAGTGTTATTAAAGACGGGTTCTTGGATTTTTTTCAGCTTTTTATGATATTAAGGCAGACTGAAATCCTGGCTTAAGCTCCCCCCAGATTAAAATCCTGGTTTAAGGGGGTCCCCCCCAGATTGAAATCCTGGCTGCGCACTGACCCCTTTTTCCCTGACGATCCCTTTTATCCCAATATTGAAAATTTCCCATTATATGCGTAATGGGTCCCTATACTGGGGACACTATTTCCCTGTTCCATCTCTCGCACTTCCCCCCTTTCCTATCTCAGCCCTTTCCTCTTGTATTCCTTTTCTGCCCCTAACTTGCTTTTTCCATTCTCGCCCTCCCTTCCCTCACTTGACGGCCCTCCAGGTATTATTATTATTATTTTTTTTACAATCAAGGGGGAAGCGCAAAACCCCGGAGGATTATACAGCGCCTGGGGGGGGGGATGTGGAAGGCATTGGGGCTTAATTTGGGGAAATGGGCACAGATCCAATTCCCTAAATCAAGAGCCCCTCCCCAACATAAGGAACCCTTTCCCTTGAGGGGCCCTCCGGGTTTAGAGGGGGTTGAGGAGTCAGGTGGAGCGAGACGACCTGTGCCCTCCCTTCTTACATACTACCTCACCTGTAATAGTAGGTTTTCGTAAAAGTTTTGAAACACTTTTCCTTGGTCACCTGTCCCCCCTAAGGGACTTGCCTCCCCCTGAGAGACCTACCTCCTATACCCTTTTGGGGCCCTGACTTGTGGTGCATGACCTGACTCCTCCCCCTGCTATGCTTGAGTCTCCGCGACTGGTTTTTACCAGAATGATTTAATATAACTGAATTAGGGATGTTTTTTCTCTGACCCGGGATGATAAATTCCCAACAGATTTATATGTAAACAATAGAATTAAAATTTTTATGCTTACAGTAAAATCGTAAAAGTCATGTAAAATTTTAAAAAAATTTCGACACATGGTTTTCTCTGACGTCACCCCAACCCATTACCACTCGGGTAAACCCCTTTTTTGCAGTTTATCTGCTATATGCCTCATTCACGTTAAGTGTTGTGTTCTTATATCTTCTTGCACAGTTAAGTTGTGTGTCATGGTTTTTTATACTGGCACTAGGAAGAGGGTCATGTACCCACACCCCTTGCCCAAGAACACACGACTTACATCTCGTCCCCATTAAACTTGGGAAAGGGGCCTACCTGGGGGAGCTTTTTGATTGGTTACTATTGAATGGGAAGATTTCCCCCCCTATTAAACAGAGGCTATGTCAAAAACTGCGGATCCTGGAAGGTCCAAAAAGACATAAAGAAAATAACACATAGTGTTAGTGCCTGAAAAAGGTTCACGCACTGATATTCTTTACTGAAATTAGTATATTTTTCAATTAGCATCTCTAAAAATAGTAATTTTAAGATCAGTTTAAACTTATCTTCTGGAAATAAAAATTCTGCAGAGACGCGCGCGCGCGCGCGTGTGTGTATGTGTGTGTGGGTGTGTGTGTGTTGTGTGTGTACTCACCTATTTGTATCCCTATTGTGGTTGCGGGGGTCGGCCCTAGCCCCTGGCCCCGCCTCTTCCCCGGTTGCTACTAGCCCCTCTCTCCCCCCGTCCTGAGCTTATAAAAACCTCGTTTTAAAAACTGTTTTGGGTTTCCCTGCCTCACTACGTATTTTCTAGGCTATTCCAGCCTTCAACTTAGATGAAGAAAACTTCCCCTTTTCTCTTGACTCATTTGGTCTTCAACTTCCAATTGTGGCCCCTTGTTTTGTGTCCCCTCCCCGGGAACATCCCCTCCTTGTCCACCCTTTTCTATTCCCGGTATTTATTGCGTTATCTGTCTCCCCTGACCCTCCTGTCCTCCGTGTCGTAGGCCCCATTTCCCCTTTAAACTTTTTATAGGCATTCCCCCTTTGCTCTGGAACTAACCTTGTTGCAAACCTTTGTACTTTTTCTAGTTTCTTGACGTGCTTTATCAAGTGCGGGTTCCAAAAAGGTGCTGCATACTCCAGTATGGGGCCTGACATACACGGTGTACAGTGTTTGAAAAGATTCCTTACTAAGGTTCGGAATGCTGTTCTCAGGTTTGCCCGGCGCCCATTGCTGCAGAGTTATTGATTGATGTGTGCTTCGGAGAATGCCGGGGTTATCCCCCCAAGATCTTTCTCCTTGAGGAGGTTTGGTCTTTGGCACCCGTATACTCTGTCTGTGGGTTTTTGTGCCCTTTTCCCCTTCTTATGACTTTTCATTTGGCAGGATTTTAAAATTTGAGAAGCCATTTGCTGGACCCGGTGTCCAGTTGTCCCGGGGCTCTTTTAAACCCGCGGTCCCCTCGATTTTTAAATTTCCTCATTTAATTCAATCACTTCAAAAAGGGACCTTTGAGTCTAACCCTTCCGTCATGTCGTTCAATTACCAAAAAAAACCTGGTCTAGGACCCACCCCTGTGTGTGGTGTGTGTGTGTGTTGTGTGTGTGTGTGGTGTTGTTCCTTTTGTCCTAGGCAATGTCGATTAGACAAGGCCGTTGTATATGAGAGTGTGTGTGGTGTTGTTACCTTTTGTCCTAGGCCAGTGATGTGTGTGTGTGTTGTGTGTGTGTGTGTGTGTTGTGTGTGTGTGTGTGTGGTGTGTTGTGTGTTAGTTCCATTTGGTCCCGGCACATGTCGATTAGACCTAGGCCCGTTGTATATGATCGTGTGTGTGTGTGTTAGTTTCCATTTTGTCCTAGGCACATGTTGAGTGTGGTGTGTGTGTTGTGTGTGTGTGTTGTGTGTGTTGTGTGTGTGGTTACTCACCTAGTTGTCTCACCCAGTTGAGGTTGCGGGGGTCGAGTCCGAGCTCCTGTCCCCGCTTTCACTGATCGCTATAGGTCATCTCCCCCAGCCCTGAGCTTTTCTACTTGTAAAGCTATGTATGGATCCTGCCTCCACACATCGTTCCCAAACTATTCCACTTATGAAATACTCTGTGGTGAAGAAAAACTTCCCAAAATCCCTGTGATTCATCTGTGTCTTTAGTTCCAATGTTGTGTGTGGTGTGTGTGTGTGTGTGTGTGTGTGTGTGTGTGTGTTGGGGTTTTCCCCCTAGTTGACGGGGCTAAAGGGCCCCCCCCTTTCCGGTGACAGGCACCCCTTTTAACCCGTTAAAGATTTGGTTTTTCCCCCTCTGCCCCAACTTTCCCTTACCTTGGGGAAAAAAAATTTCCCAAATCCCCTATTCACTGGTCTTAATTCCCAATTTTTCCCGGGTTTTCTTCCCCCCTTTCTTTTCCCCCAACCCTATATTTTTTAGGTTTTTTTTGCCCCCATCCTTTCCCCCCGTGTCGTAGGGATTTTTCCAAAAAAACCCCCCCATAACAACCTTTAGTCGGGGAAATTTGTTTAAAGCCGACGGATTTAGACGGGGGGGGGAGTTACCATTTTTCCCAACAAAAAAAGGGGGTTTTTTTTGGGTTGTGGGGTTTTTTTGGGGGGGGGGTTTTTTTTAGGGAAAAATTCTTTCCCCAGATGAAAAAGAAAACCCCGAAAAGGAGTGTTATTAAAAAAACTCCCGGGGGGGAAAAAACCCCCCCGGAAAAAAAAGAAACGAAGGGGGTTAACCCGGTAAAACGGCATTTTAATTACCCCCCAAAAAAAATTTTATATCAGTCCCCGGTCCCCCCAAAAGGTCAAAAACAAAAATTTATTAAGCAAATTTAAATCAAAAACTCAATTAAAACAAACAAAAATCCCCAAAACCCCAAAAAAATAATCCCAAAAAACTCAATTTTACACCAAAAAAAATAATAACCCGAAAAACAAAACAATACATCCTCAATCCTCGTATATGCATGAAAATTTCCCCCCCCTCTCTCCCCCCCCTGAGTCACACCCCAGCCCCTTGTAGGTTTAGCGCCTATAAAAATAATAATTTTTTAGCCCCAGAAACAATATTTACTTGAGCCACAAAGAATAACCCTTGTTAATCCAAAAAACTACCTAAGATGAAACAAGCCCACATAAATTTTGTAGAATGTCCATTCTAAAAAGTTTGTGGACTAAAACACATCGACTCCAGGTTGGGGATGTTTCCCTCATTCTCCCCCTCCCCTTACGCCTTCCTTTTTGTTTGGACTGATGAACCCACTGTTTATCTGAGTTTACTGGAGAGATTTCCCGGGGGTAAACGCCCCCCGGCCCGGTCTGTGACCGGGCCCTCCTTGGTCATTTCCCAGGATGCGCCCACACCAGTGACTAACACCAGGTCCATTTTACTGAGGGGAAAACTAGAAAAACAGGGGGAAAAAGAAACAGCCCAATGTTTTTTATTTGGGCTGGGAATCAAACCCCCCACCCCTCCCCGTGTGAACGGAGCGTTAAACCCACCGGGCCCACCAGAGCCTGTGTGGCAAAACGTTTCCGAATAAAGATTCCCATATGCTGCTAAGTTTTAAATCTTAACTTTGTTGGTTTTTCAAATCATTCTCACAAGTCCACACTTTTTCTGCAGTAAAGAAATGAAACAAAAAAACTGTCAGTTAAAACCTGTGAATCAAAAAAAAGCTGCCGCACCTCAATTTTGCCCTGTCCGAACCTCCACAATTACATGTGGGGGGCCCGCAAAATCTCGGTTATTTAGCTAAGTTATGGGATCACTTTTTTTAGTACTAACGCAGTGTTTACTGTGTGTTGGGCTAGCCGCAGTGGCGTTGCTTCTTGGTACGTGCGTCTTTCTACGACATCACTGATTTTTTTCTTTTATGACATCAATGGATGTAACCCGCAATAAACCTCATTTAGCACTCTCATCCCCTGTGGCACTTTCACCCATGTGGCACCCACTTGCTGTCAAACACGGCCCTCACTAACACCCCCACACTAACCATCATCACTAAAACCCCCATCATCACTAACACTCACTACCACCCACTAACACACCACCATAGAAAACCCCCATCCTAGCCAAAACCCCCATACTAGCAAACCCCCCATCTGCACAAACACACCACCACCACTAACACACTACCATCACTGACACACCATCATCACTGACACACTACCACACTATCGACAAGTGCCTTTGACACCTTGTAACTAACACTCCTGGGCTACACATGTCTGTTTCGTGTCTGGTCAACCTGGAGGGCATTCCGGGGATCAACGCCCCCGCGACCCGGTCCATGAATAGGCCTCCTGGTGAATCAGGGCCTGGTCAACGAGGCTGTTACTGCTGGCCGCACGTGGTCCAACGTACGAACCACAGCCTGGCTGATCCGACACTGACTTGAGGTATCTGTCCGGCTCCCTCTTGAAGACAACCAGGGGTCTATTGATCTATTAGTCAACAAGGCTGTTGCTGCTAGCAGCGTATTAAACAACACACACACACCATTACCACCGCTAACACTCTATGTGATACCTACTACCCTACACCACCACTACCCTCCAACACTACGTAATACCTACTCCCCAACACCACCACTATCCTCCAACACTAATAGCTACTCCCCATGACAGTGACCTCAGTCACTCACATGTCCAGCTTATCTTCTGTACCACCGTCTCTTACACCCCACAACCAGTTTCTCACGCTCCTCCCACAATTAGTTCAATTCTGTGAGAAAGCTGGGAGCAGAAGCTTCAGAAGGAAGCTCACAAGTGTTACCAGTAATACTGGAACCACCACACTACTGCCACCAGTAATACTGAAACCACCACACTGCTGCCACCAGTAATACTGGAACCACCACACTGCTGCCACCAGTAATACTGGAACCACCACACTGCTGCCCCCAGTAATACTGGAACCACCACACTGCTGCCACCAGTAATACTGGGACCACCATATTGCTGCCACCAGTAATACTGGGACCACCACACTCCTGCCACCAGTAATATTCAATATGGCGTGCTTGGAGCAGCTCACCGGTATTTACCTGCAGTAATTCCCTCTCTGACTTTCACAGGACACCACAACCCTCACACACCTGCCTACCTCTCACCCTAAAACAAACGTGTAGTTATACACGAGTTAAACAACGTTAAGAAAGCAGTGTCAGTACTCTGCCTAGCACCTGGGTATCCCATGCTATCAATCATACCTAACTTCTACATGTTCCTCGTGACAGTGGTTCACGACGGACCGAAACGTCGTCGTAAGTTGTTGTTTAAGTGTTTCAGCCACTGTACTGGGACTTTTAAGGAGTAGTAATCCCTCATGTGCATGAAGGGATGGGTGTTGAAGAGTCGTGGTCCCTTAACAATTACTTAGTTTTCCCAGTGTACTCGTCGCTCCCCTGTTTTTCACTGGAGGTATCCTGCACTATCTGCTAAGCTTCTTGTGTTCATAAGTAGTGATTTAGGAGTGCAGGTTCGGTACCAATCCCTCCAGTATCTTCAAGGTGTAGATTCTGAGGTATCTTTTTCGCCTAGGTTCTAAGGACTTCAAGCGCTCTCAGTAATTTAGGTGCTTGACTGAGTTTATCCGAGCTGTTAAAATTATATGCACGTTTTCCAGCTCGGAAAATCTGCCTGCCTTGAATGGGCTGCTAGTATACAGCAATATTCCAACCTAGAGAGCTGTATGACCCTTGTAGTTTTAGCGTTTTTATTGATTATAATAATCCAACCTAGAGAGAGACCGAATGACCTGAAGAGTATCATCTCTTGTTTTGAAGGTTCTATCATTTTTCTTGCAGTTGCGATAATAATATTGTTGTGCTCGAGAATGTGAGATGATCTGACATTATCACTCCCAGGTCTCTCACATCTGACCTACGTTCTACTGAGTGGTTTGAGTTTCTTGTACTTCGAACTAGTTTTTATTTCACCCAGCCTGGAGGTTCGCTGTGGCTTCTATGACTACCACTTAAATACAAATTCTAGTATTGTCAACTAAGGCTGATACAGTGCTAATATTGATGCCCCTGTCTACGTCAGGTATAAGAAAGTGGAGTGGAGCGAGGACCGTGGCTTGGGGGACACAACACTGTAGCAGCCCCTGATTTCACTCCGTTTACTATTACTCTTTGTCTTCTGTTTCAGAGAAAGTTAAGTATCCATCTGCCCACCTTCCTGGTTATTTATTTGGCACGCATTTTGAATGCAATTAACTCTTGGTCGCGCTTGTCAAATGCTTCTGCAACGTCAGTGTATATTACAAGTGCATTTTGCTAGTCTTCATGTGTATGTAAGACCATGTAAGATCATGAGCGACCTGTTATGAACCTATGTTGATCCGGATTGCGCAACTGCTGTGATTATATGTGACTGATAATGATGCTTCTTAAATTCCTAGGGGTCTAGTCTTTTCTGCCATTGTTTTACTATCACCTTTGTGGAGTGGGACAATATCAGTGGTTTTTAATAACTGTGGGATGACTCCAGTGTACAGGCTTCTCCACAGAATATTCAAGACACGCGATAAGTGTCTCTTGCAATTCTTGATACACATCCAGTGCCATGAGTGTGAGTCTGGGACACACTGCATGGACATGACATTAATGGGTCAGCTAATTGTTTTTATTTAGCAAATATGGATACATCAGCAGTGTGCCACTAAACTGTTCTACATGATAGTTACACAGTGGGAACATCAACAGTGCGCCACTACACTACATTCACATCTTGTGCACAGTCCAGATGTACACCTGCACAATGAACCTAGTATTAATTTAGATGTGCCCTACACTGCAGGTGTACACCATCTGCGTGCAGCTCCCCATGTACAGTGTACACTGCTTGTACAGTATAAGGCAAGGTTGTGTACTGACCTTCGTAATGACAGCGTCGAAGCCAGCCTGACAGGACCCCTGGCGGTGGTAGCCCCAACTACCTGTACAACGAAGAAAAACAAGAAATATTAAACACAAATACTCTCATTATACTTAATGAACACGAACAAGTGAACAAACATGAACGAACATTTCAGCAGACAACCTGTCATGAGCACTCAGCAGACAACCTGTCATGAGCACTCAGCAGACAACCTGTCATGAGCACTCAGCAGACAACCTGTCATGAGCACTCAGCAGACAACCTGTCATGAGCACTCAGCAGACTACCTGTCATGAGCACTCAGCAGACAACCTGTCATGAGCACTCAGCAGACAACCTGTCATGAGCACTCAGCAGACTACCTGTCATGAGCACTCAGCAGACAACCTGTCATGAGCACTCAGCAGACAACCTGTCATGAGCACTCAGCAGACAACCTGTCATGAGCACTCAGCAGACAACCTGTCATGAGCACTCAGCAGACAACCTGTCATGAGCACTCAACAGACAACCTGTCATGAGCACTCAACAGACAACCTGTCATGAGCACTCAGCAGACAACCTGTCATGAGCACTCAGCAGACAACCTGTCATGAGCACTCAGCAGACAACCTGTCGTGTTGTCAACTGAAGGATTCTGCTAACTTTAAGGTTATGTGGTGTGCATTTACTAATTCATTATTGCGAAGGTTGAGTTTTGGCTCCTGGCCCGTCTCATACAACCTCAAGTATGCATGTATGTGCATATGTGTGTGTATGTATTCATACTTTATACACGAAGGAAACAAGAAACAAAGCAAAAGTCTGAACTCCTGTAATGCTTAAATGAACCTCTCTCTCTCTCTCTCTCTCTCTCTCTCTCCTCTCTCTCCCCTCACTCTCTCTCTCTCTCTCCTCTCTCCCCTCTCTCCTTCTCTCTCTCTCCCTCTCTCTCTCTCCTCTCTCTCTCTGTCTCTCTCTCTCTCTCTCTCTCTCTCTCTCTCTCTCTCCACCTATCCAACACTCCTCGACTCCCAGTATGTCACCAGTCATCACCAAGACTCCCAGCATGTCACTAGTCATCACCAAGACTCCCAGCATGTCACTAGTCATCACCAAGACTCCCAGCATGTCACTAGTCATCACCAAGACTCCCAGCATGTCACTAGTCATCACCAAGACTCCCAGTATGTCACTAGTCATCACCAACACTCCCAGTATGTCACTAGTCATCACCAACACTCCCAGTATGTCACTAGTCATCACCAACACTCCCAGTATGTCACCAGTCATCATCAACACTCCCAGTATGTCACCAGTCATCACCAACACTCCCAGTACGTCACTAGTCATCACCAAGACTCCCAGTATGTCACCAGTCATCACCAACACTCCCAGTATGTCACCAGTCATCACCAACACTCCCAGTACGTCACTAGTCATCACCAAGACTCCCAGTATGTCACCAGTCATCACCAACCTCCCAGTATGTCACTAGTCATCACCAAGACTCCCAGTATGTCACCAGTCATCACCAACCTCCCAGTATGTCACTAGTCATCACTAAGACTCCCAGTATGTCACTAGTCATCACCAACACTCCCAGTATGTCATCAGTCATCATCAACACTCCCAGTATGTCACCAGTCATCACCAAGACTCCCAGTATGTCACTAGTCATCATCAACACTCCCAGTATGTCACTAGTCATCACCAAGACTCCCAGTATGTCACCAGTCATCACCAAGACTCCCAGTATGTCACCAGTCATCACCAAGACTCTCAGTATGTCACCAGTCATCACCAAGACTCTCAGTATGTCACCAGTCATCACCAAGACTCCCAGTATGTCACTAGTCATCATCAACACTCCCAGTATGTCACTAGTCATCACCAAGACTCTCAGTATGTCACCAGTCATCACCAAGACTCCCAGTATGTCACTAGTCTTCACCAAGACTCCCAGTATGTCACCAGTCATCACCAAGACTCCCAGTATGTCACCAGTCATCACCAAGACTCCCAGTATGTCACTAGTCTTCACCAAGACTCCCAGTATGTCACCAGTCATCACCAAGACTCCCAGTATGTCACTAGTCATCATCAACACTCCCAGTATGTCACTAGTCTTCACCAAGACTCCCAGTATGTCACTAGTCTTCACCAAGACTCCCAGTATGTCACCAGTCATCACCAAGACTCCCACTACGTCACTAGTCATCACCAAGACACCTTGTGAGGAAGGCAATGTATATCTCATGGTTTACTATCTGCCGCCTTGAGTCCTTACAATCTTCTGTCTTAAGAGATGAAGGCACTAGGAAAGAAAGAGATCAGTAAGTGCCGTGGCTGGAGACAGACAGATCTGGCAGGAGACAGACAGTTCTCATGGCAGGAGACAGATAGATCTTCTGGCAGGAGACAGATAGGTCTTCTGGCAGTATACGGACAGGTCTCCTGGCAAGAGACAGACAGATCTCCTGGCAGAAGACAGACAGATCTCCTGGCAAGAGACAGACAGGTCTTCTGGCAGGATACGGACAGGTCTTCTGGCAGGATACGGACAGGTCTTCTGGCAGGAGACAGACAGATCTGGTTGATTGGGAGAGATTAGATTTTGCCACCGAAGTGGATAGATTATTGTGCAGCCCATATCCATCCTGTGGAGGGTAGCGAAAGAGCTTATGGATACACAAAAGACTTAGGAACTAGGTCCCAAAAGGGTTAACGGGAGTAATCTGGGAGAAAGAGGGAAGTATTATGATCAACAACAACAGCAGTTGAAGAGACCCAGAGTGGAGTCCTGGAGTCATGTACTTTTAGAATAATTCACGATACATAATTAACCAAATATAATTCCCCTGTGACATTACATGATTGTCTTCGTAAGAAAATATTAATTAACTTTATAAACACGAATTTACTTTACTATACTAATCTTGCTTTTTTTAATTAACCCTTAAAAAGTATTCTACTTCAAGTGGTTACTTAAGTGGTCTTTGAGTGGTAGTTGCCTGGAGTTTACCTGGGGAGAGTTCCGGGGGTCAACGGCCCCGCGGCCCGGTCTGTGACCAGGCCTCATGGTGGATCAGAGCCTGATCAACCAGGCTGTTACTGCTGACTGCACGCAATCCATCGTACGAGCCACAGCCCGGCTGGTCAGGTACCGGCTTTAGGTGCTTGTCCATTGTCTATTGGTAATCCCCCTTATGTATGCTGGGAGGGAGTTGAACAGTCTTGGGCCTCTGACACTTATTGTGTTGTCTCTTAACGTGCTAGTGACATCCCTGCTTTTCATGGGGGGGTGTTGCTTCGTCTGCCGAGTCTTTTGCTTTTGTAGTGAGTGATTTTCGTAGTGAGTGATTTTCGTAGTGAGTGATTTTCGTAGTGAGTGATTTTCGTAGCGAGTGATTCTCGTAGTGAGTGATTTTCGAAGTGATGATTTTCGTAGTGAGTGATTTTCGTAGCGAGTGATTTTCGTAGTGAGTGATTTTCGAAGTGAGTGATTTTCGTAGTGAGTGATTTTCGTAGCGAGTGATTCTCGTAGTGAGTGATTTTCGAAGTGAGTGATTTTCGTAGTGAGTGATTTTCGTAGCGAGTGATTTTCGTAGTGCGTGATTTTCGTAGCGAGTGATTTTCGTAGTGAGTGATTTTCGTAGTGCGTGATTTTCGTAGCGAGTGATTTTCGTAGTGAGTGATTTTCGTAGCGAGTGATTTTCGTGGTGAGTGATTTTCGTAGTTAAGTGGAGTGTTGTTATATCTGCCGGAGTAATTAGGAAGCACATCCCTTACCTCCAGTACGACATCTCATGTCACCAGTCATTGTACACACACACACACACACACACACACACACACACACACACACACACACACACACACACACACACACACAGACGGGGCCAGGAGCTGAGTCAACCCTTGCAACCATAAATAGGTGAGAACAAACACACACACAGTCAACTAGTGATGACACGAGGGGTGTCAGTCAAGACTGGGAGACGCTGGTCTGGTGTCACCACCTCGTTAAGTGCCAACAAGTGACACTCTTGGCACCTTAAACAAGTTTAGTAAATCTGGTGGAGACTGGTGATCCACACCAAACATTACAGTGGTATAGTGGAGTGATGATGGATTGGCGTGTTAGTGGAGTGGTGATGATGGAGTGGGGTGTTAGTGGTGTGGTGATGATGGAGTGGGGTGTTAGTGGTGTATGGTGGCTGTGGTAGGGGTGGTGATGGTTCCCTTTTCACCCACCCACCAATTTCATATCAGCATTTTAACTAAGTCTAAGGGTAGAGTAAAGAGTAATATGAGAGAGAGAGAGAGAGAGAGAGGCGGGGAAAGCGAGGCAGGGGAAGAGGAGGCGGGGAAGAAAGGAAATGAGGAAAAGATAAACGGAAAGGGAGTGGTGGAGGGAAGGGTGGTGGAGGGAAGGGTTGTGGAGGAAGGGTTGTGGAGGGAAGGTTTGTGGAGGGAAGGGTTGTGGAGGGGAAAGGGGTTTGTGGAGGGAAGGGTGATGGAGGGAAAGGTTGTGGAGGGAAGGGTTGGGAAGGGGGGGGAAGGGTTGTGGAGGGAAGGGTTGTGGAGGGAAGGGTTGTGGAGGGAAGGGTGGTGGAGGGAAGGGTTGTGGAGGGAAAAGTGGTGGAGGGAAGGGTTGTGAGGGAAGGGTTGTGGAGGGAAGGGTTGTGGGGAAGGGTTGTGGAGGAAGGGTTGTGGAGGGAAGGGTTGTGGAGGGAAGGGTTGTGGAGGGAAGGTTTGTGGAGGGAAGGTTTGTGGAGGGAAGGGTTGGAGGGAAGGGTTGTGGAGGGAAGGGTTGTGGAGGGAAGGGTGGAGGGAAGGGTTGTGGAGGGAAGGGTTGTGGAGGGAAGGGTTGTGGAGGGAAGGGTTGTGGACGGAAGGGCTGTGGAGGGAAGGGTTGTGGAGGGAAGGGGGTGGAGGGAAGGGCTGTGGAGGGAAGGGCTTTTGGAGGGGAAAGGGTTGTGGAGGGAAGGGGTTTTGGAAGGAAGGGTTGTGGAGGGAAGGTGTGGAGGGAAGGTTGTGGAGGGAAGGGTTTGGAGGGAAGGGTGGAGGGAAGGG